AAACATTGCATTGCCAGGTTCTTTTTCTTCATTTCTTTTTTCTTTTGGTTTGGATTTTAAATCTGAATTTTAATAAACTCTCTTGTATTAATACACTGATATCTGTTAGCTTCAGTATTTGAGTTAGTAGTCTCCAGCCTTAAAAATTTTGTGCTCTATCATAAAAAAAGTGAGCTATTACCCCAGTACATATCTGTTTTATGTATGCTATATGTGTGCCACTGAAGAAAATGGTAATACTTTATAAAATATGAACTTGTTAACATGAATTTTAAAAAAGCTAAGCTAAAAATGAAATTATGAAGTTTTTTTTGGCCTTCGCTAATAGTTCAAATTACAACATACCATTAGGCTAAGGTTGATCGTTATAATAATGTGTACAAATTCATATTTTAAGTAATTTGGATAATTTTTTAAACAGCCAGTTTCTTGTCAGGGATTATTAGGCTAGGGTTTCTCAACTGGTGCTATTGATGTTTCTGAAGTGGATAATTCTTGCTGGGCGGGGTGGGGGGCATCATATGCATTGTAGGATGTTTAGCAGCTTCCCTGGCCTCTACTCACAAGATGACAGTATTACCCCCCCCCTCCCCCGTAGAAACATCAAAAATGCTGTGAGGCATTACCAAATGTCTTAAGAGGCAAAATTACTTCTGGTTAAGAACCACTAGATTAGATCATTGTTTTTATCCTGTATTATGGATGACAAACAGCTTGTGCTAGAGTAAGGAAAGTGTTAATTTTGATTTTTTTTTTCCTCTAGCAGCAATAATGTTTTCTTCAGTATGAAGTTTGAGATCTGTTTGTAGGAATTCTTTTATTCACTTGTTCATTCTATAAGGTTTAGTTAAAACTCGGTAACATTGGGAGGCCGAGGCGGGTGGATCACGAGGTCAAGAGATCAAGACCGTCCTGGTCAACATGGTGAAACCCCGTCTCTACTAAAAATACAAAAAATTAGCTGGGCATGGTGGCGCGTGCCTGTAATCCCAGCTACTCAGGAGGCTGAGACAGGAGAATTGCCTGAACCCAGGAGGCGGAGGTTGCAGTGAGCCGAGATCACGCCATTGCACTCCAGCCTGGGCAACAAGAGCGAAACTCCACCTCAAAAAAAAAAAAAAAACTCGGTAACATAATCCAATCCATACATTTACTTAAATCAGTATATGTGAGTCATAGTATGTCACAGTAAGACAAATGAAAGAGGAGAGTGCCACTGTCAAGTGTTCTGCTGTATGAAATGCCCAGTCTTCAGCAGACCTCTTGACTATCTGTATCACATCTCTGATACTAACCATAGGTTAGGGTACCTATGTAAATATTAAATACTGAAGCCAGGCACGGTGGCTCACACCTGTGATCCCAGCACTTTGGGAGGCCAAGATGGGGAGGATAACTTGAGCCTGGGAGTTCGAGACTAGCCTAGGCAACGTAGCAAGACTCCCGTCTCTACGAAAAACTTAAAAAATTAGACAAGCATGGTGGCATGCACCTGTAGTCCCTGCTACCTGGGAGGCCAAGGTGGGAGAATTGCTTGAGCCCAAAAGTTTGAGCCTGCAGAGAGCTGTAATCACACCACTGCACTCCAGCCTGGGCACAGAGTGAAACCCTGGATTTCAAAAAATAAATAAATATCAAATGCTGACTTTTTCTAATTTTCTAGATGAACACATTAACTAAGTAATGTAGCCTACCTATATGCCCAACAAAGAGTCTTCCTACAGGTCCTCGGGTGTATGTGCATACCTATTTGGAAACCACTCATTTGGCCATCACATTGTAACTTATTGTTCAGTTTGTGTCATTGCAGCCATAGTACTCAAAAAGGAAAAGTAATTTTAGCTCGCTGAACTGACCTCTACCTAACCAACTCATCAGGTTAACTGGTGTTCTCCATTGATGTGAATTATATTTAAAGGAAGATTGTCAAGGCCTGTGTTTACCGTTCCTCATGATTCCCTGACCTTTTCAGTTAATTAGCCACTGGACATAATTACATTGACTATAGGGGCTTCTTTTGCACCATACCAGTGTTGGAATTGTGATGACTTACTTGTGGAGTTGGAACTACAATTTCTCTCAGCAGCCTACTTATTTGGTTGTCAAACTTGTAGCCGAATTATAATACAAAGTTTTCAAACTTTCTGTTTTGGAATGGTAATTTACTCTCAAAACTGTTGCTTCCTGCTTGCTACCTTACAGGTTTGTTGTGAGAGTATTCCTTAACAGTAGTTCAGACTCTCATTACTTGTCTATAATTGTAGCATAGTTTTAATGGGATTCCCTGCCTCCAGTACCTCTCTGGCTTGTTGGTTAACATAAACATTATCGCCAGATTAGACATCCTAAAATGTAATGTCTAATCAGATCAAAAGCCATTTATAACAATAAAAACTACATTAAAAAATTACTGTGTCCTAGGTTTAGATGTGGTCTCTGCAATCAGTTGTTCACTTAACAAATTATTTAAAAAATACATGCATACACACACATGAATTCTGAATTGTGATATTTGTCCAAAATAAAAAATACGGGGTGATGGGAGAGCTTCATGAGCATCAAATTTAGATTGGGAGGATGGTGATGAGGAAAGGCTCTTTTGAAAAAGTGAGATTTAAACTATCTGAAGAAGCTGTGCTTAGTTTAGAAAGGTGCTGGGCAAAGAGTATTCCAGGAAGAAGGAATAGCATCTATGAAGGCTTTGCTCTGCTGCTGAAATTGTGGTTGAGTTTATTGAGTATGGCTAGAGTGAGTAGTGCTTGATGAGGCAGGAGGTAGGCTAGGATGAGATCATTTCAGATCTTGCACTCTATACCAAGAAGTTTAGGTTTTATTCTGAGTGACTGGGGAGATATTAAAGGGTTTAAGCAAGGGGAGTGTTGTGAATCAGTTACATGTTTTACAGATTCCACTCTGACTACAGAATGGATGAGAACAGAATAGGAGTTAGGTCAAAAGAAGTGGGGAAACCAGTTAGGATGCCTTTGTATGTAGTAGTAGGTCAGAGAGAAAGGATGATAATTTTGACTAGAGTCATGACAGTAAACAAGGTGACACATGAAATGATTATGTCATAAACTATTACCATTACCCTGTGAAGGAAGTATGAGCAGAATAAAATTTAGAATAAACTTATCCAAGCCCATCTAATAAATGGTAGTGTAAGGAACTGAAACAATGGGTGTTTCAGGACATTTGATCCTTGCCTCTAAAACAAAATCCAAACTCTGTTGAAGATTTTTCAGTCTCCTCTTACTATCTTTATCTCCTCCTAAACTCCTACTCACCTATGTTATAAGCATACCAAACTATTGGCAGTAAGTATCATGAACATATCCTCTACCTCGATGCCACTGATGATTATTTACTATGGCTGAAATACTCTTGCTCCCACATACACTTAACAAAATCCTACTCATTGTTTAGGATCCAGATCAAATATGAATGAAACCTTTCAAATTTGCCTCCAGATTGATATTGCACATTTATCTTCTTTTAACTATAGTAGTTTATATTACTATCACATTATAGTATATTATGCAATAAATGTTTATGTAATTGATTATGTGCCAGGTACTATGTGTAGACAATATGGACATATCTAGGTATAAAAATAGACACAGTTGCTACATATGTGGAATCTACATTGTAACACAGACTTTGAACAAAATCTGGGCACAAATATGTAACTAAATATTAGTAAGAGGTATGAAGGAATAGTAAAGGGTGCCTCCAGGTTTCTGAAACCATATTATGGCCCTTGAGGTCAAAATTATTTTTATAATCCTACTAAGATATTATTTGCCTTTTCATTCTCATTCTTATGAGTATATAGTAGTGATAGGATGTATGGTATTGCAACAGATTAAATACAGAAGGCAGTAGAATCCAGATGTCTTTTATTAAGGCAGACATTAAAGAAATTGGCCAAAAAAAAATTTTTTTTTTTTTTAAAGCCACTTTGGGGCTGCGTGCAGTGTCTCACACCTGTAATCCTAGCACTTTGGGTGTCCGAGGTGGGCAGATCACTTGAGGTCGGAGTTCAAGACCAGCCTGGCCAACATGGTGAAACCCCATCTCTACCAAAAATCCAAATATTAGCTGGGCATAGTGGTACACACCTGTAATCCCTCCCTGTAATCAGGAGGCTGAGAGGCAGGAGAATTGCTTGAACCTAGGAGGCAGAGGTTAAAGTGAACTCCAGCCTGCATGACAAGAGCAAGACTGTCTCTCAGTCAGTCAGTCAGTCCCACTTTGCCTTCTCATTTTTCGTTGTTTTGGAAAATGTGGTTGTTTTTTGGTTTTTTTTCATTTGAAAATAGATCACTTTTGTTAATGAGTTTTTTGTTATTTTAAAATGAGTTTTAAACATTTCTTGGTTATAATTTTTAATGTGGTAAATACTGATAGCGATAGACTATGTAGATAAAAGCTTTCTGGGGTCCTCCATACTTTTTAAGTGTATGAAGGGGCCAAGTGTGGTGGCTAACACCTGTAATCCCAACACTCTGGGAGACCAGTGCAGGAAGAGTCAACATAGCAAGACCCTATCTCTACAAAAAAATTTAAAAATTAGCCAGGCGTGATGGTGTGTGCTTGTAGGCTTAGTTACTTTGGAGGCTGAGGTGAGAGGATCACTTGAGCCCAGGAGTTTGAGATTGTGTGAGCTGTGGTCACGCACTGCATTCCTGCCTGGGCTAGAATGAGACCCTATCTCCAAAAAAAAAAAAAAAAAAGATGTGTGTGCACACGAGCATGTGCACTGAGAGAGAGAAAGAGAGAGATCCTGAAACCAAAATGTTTGACAACCCTGTAATGGGGATCTGATTTAAACTGGGGGCTTCTGGAAAAGTAAAAGATAATCTCATGCCTCTGTTAAATTCTTATCTTCTTCTAAAAATTAGGAGTGTGGTTTTCTCTGAATTTCCAAAACCTACAATTCTTTTTATAAAATGAGTGTGTTGGTCAAATCTAAATTTATTTAAATTTTTTTAATTTTAAAAAATATGGAGTGCTTCATGAATTTGCATGTCATCCTTATGCAGAGGCCATGCTAATCTTCTCTGTACTATTCTGATTTTAGTGTATGTGCTGCCAAAGCAAGCACCAAATTTTGTTATCAAAGTCTACTGTAGATGGCCATTCTTTCTTGGATTTTTAGTTTCATTGAAACCTTTGTTGGAAATACCACCTTACTTCTGATTACTGTAGGGAAATAGATCTAGATTCAATAAAGGATTGAATCAAAGGAATTTAATTCAAATTCCTCTTGGTATGAAGCTGGGATGATTACTTAACCTGCTAAACCTTACCGTTATTCATCTGTAACATGGAATACATATTTTACCGTGGTGTAATGATTTAATGAATGAATGTTTGTGACCTGATTAATAACAGAGATAATCTATAAAATGATAATTCTTTTATATACATAGCACATACGTATTGGGGTTAGTTTCAGTTAGTGAGCAGAGAGGTCTGTGGATAAATCAGGGTATAATCATCATCATTTAAGGACATATTCACCATTCAAACAGTTTTTCAGAAGGGAGAAAGCCAGAATGATCTATTGTATGATTATTCATCTTTAGAAAAAGAAACAGAAAATATGGGCTTAGAATATTTTAAAGAAGTAGCTCTATGTTGCAATGTAGGTGTTTTAAGGATGGGGTAGAGTTTTATGTGTCTGGTACAGGAACAGTGCCTCACATTTTACTAAATGTTTGAATAATATTAATTAACTAGAGATTCTTAAAAACACATTTTTAGAAGCCTTGAAAAAGATGTATACTAGAAATTAAAGGCCAAGCCCAAGAAAGCTTACATCGCAAACTGGAAAAATAAAGGTACCATAGAAGAAAAAGAAAATTGCCCTATGGGGAGAAGATGTGGAGTCATTTGGTGTGACTAAATGGGATCCAGTAAGATAAGACATGGTAGAGCATCTTCAGAATGATTCCATGTTCCAGGGTTAAAATGTTAACTATATTAAAGGTAGTAAACCAGTGAAAGAATTTTTAAGATCCTAGTGCAGAATGTTTGACAAGAGATAAGATCAGCTGACTGCTGTGGTATTCATAGCAGAAAGCCATAGGAAAATTATCCTTTTTGATATTCTTTCTTGAAGAAGATAGGTCCTTTTTTTTTTTTTTTTTTTTTTTTTTTTTTTGAGGTGAAGTTTCCCTCTTGTTGTCCAGGCTGGAGAGCAATGGTGCAATCTCGGCTCACTGCAACCTCTGCCTCCCGGGTTCAAGTGATTCTCCTGCCTCAGCCTTAAGGCACCCCCACTGGCCTCCCAAAGTGCTGGAATTACAAGCATAAGCCACTGCACTTGGCCGAAGATAAGTCCTTTTTTTAAAGATAGATAGTTAAGGCTGGGTACTGTGGCTTATACCTGTAATCCCAGCACTTGGGAGACCAACACAGGTGGATCACCTAAAGTCAGAAGTTCAAGACCAGCCTGACCAATATGGTGAAACCCAATCTCTACTAAAAATACAAAAATTAGCTGGGCATGGTGTGGTGTGTGCCTGTAATCCCACCTACTCTGGAGGCTGAAACAGGAGAATTCCTTGAACCTGGGAAGCAGAGGTTGCAGTGAGCTGAGATCACAGCACTGCATTCCAGCCTGGGCAACACAGCAAGACCCCATCTCAAAAAAAATACTTTTAAAACGAAATAATAGTTACTTCTCATTGTGAGGAACTGAGTTGGCTAGAGCGACACATAGGTTTGGACCTATAACTTGCTTACATTTTAAATATTAGGTTGGTGCAAAAGTAATTGTGGTATTCGCTACACAATAGAAATGATTGTAGACATTTTTTTCTTTGTACAACAACTGTAAAGCATTGCAGAAATTATATGTAGAATTATAAGCATACTTTTATTGTGTTTCATTTTATTGTACTTCACAGATAATGTGTTTTGTTTGTTTGTTTTTACTAATTGAAGGTTGGTGGCAACCCTACATCAAGCAAATCTTTTGGCACCATTTTTCAACAGCATATGTTCATTTTGTGTCTCTGTGTCACATGTTAGTAAATCGTGCAATATTTCAAACTTTGTTTGGGTGTTCTATGGTGTTCTATGATCTTCCATGTTACTGTTGTAAAATTGTTTGGGGGTACCACAAACCACACCCATGTAAGGCAGTAACCTTCATCAGTAAATGTGTGTGTTCTCACTGCTCCACTGACTGGCTGTTCCCCCAACTCTTCTCCAGCCTCCCTATTCCTTGAGACACAGTAATATTGAAAGTAAGCCAATTAATAACCCTACAGTGGCCTCTAAGTATTCAGGTGAAACCAAGAGTCATATGTCTCTCTCTTGAAATCAAAAGCTGGAAATATTGAAGCTTAGTGAAGAAAGCACGTCAAAAGCTATGCCTTTTATGCCAAACAGCCAAATTGTGAATGCAAAGGCAGAGTATTTGAAGGAAATTATAAGTGCTATTCCAGTGAATACATGAATGATAAGAAAGCAAAACAGGCTGGGCGTGGTGGTCCATATCTGTAATCCCAGTGCTTTAAGAGGCCGAGGTGGGAGGATCACTTGAGGCTAGGAGTCCAAGATCAGCCTGGCCATCATAGCAAGACTTCGTCTCTATTAATTTAAAAAAAAGTGAGGCTGGGCACGGTGGTTCATGCCTGTAATCTCAGCACTCCGGGAGGCTAAGGCAGGCAGATCACCTGAGATCGGGAGTTCAAGATCAGCCTGACTAACATGGAGAAACCCTGTCTCTACTGAAAATACAAAATTAGCCGGGCGTGGCGGTGCATGCCTGTGATCTCAGCTACTCGGGAGACTGAGGCAGGGGAATCACTTGAACCCGGGAGGCAGAGGTTGTGGTGAGCTGAGATCGCACCATTGCACTCCAGTCCGGGTGATGAGTAAAACTGTGTCTCGAAAAAAAAAAAAAAAGACAAGCAAAACAACTTAATTGCTGATTTGGAGATTGTTTTAGTGATCTGGATAGAAGATGAAACCAGCCACAACATTCCCTTAAGTCAATGACTGGCTTCAAAGGACAGGCTGACTCTTGCTAGACGCTAATGCTGCTGCTGACTTTAAGTTGAAGTCAGTGCTCATTTATCATTCCAAAAATCCTAGGGCCTGTTGGAATTCTGCAAAATTTACTGTGTCTTGGCTCTGTAAATGGAACAATGATGCTTGGACGACAACACATTCTTTTACAGCATGGTTTACTGAATATTTTAAGCCCACTGTTGAGACCCACTGTTGAGACCCACTGTTGGAAGAAAAAAAGATTCGTTCCAACATATTACTACTCATTGACAGTGTACCCAGTCACCCAAGAGCTCTGATGATGTACAAGAAAGATTAATGTTCTCTTTTTTTTTTGTTTTGAGACAGGGTCTTACTCTGTTGCCCAGGGTGTTGTGCAGTGGTGTGATCGTAGCTGTCTGCAGCCTTGAACCCCTGAGCTCAAGCAATCCTGCCTCAGCCTCCTGAGTAGCTGGGACTACAGGCGCATACCACCATGTCCAGCTAATTTTTTTTTTTTTTTTTTTTAAAGAGAAACAGGGTCTCACTATGTTTCCCAGGCTAGTCTCACAAACTCCTGGTCTCACGTGATCCTCTTGCCTCAGTAAAGTTTTCCTAACCACTAATACAGCATTCATTCTGCAGCCCATGGATAAATAATTTTGACTTTCAGTTCTTCTTACTAAAGTATCTTTCATTAGGCTATAGCTGCCGTAGATAGTTACTCCTGTGATAGATCTGAGCAACATTAATTGAAAATCTTCTGCAAATAATTCACCTTTCTAGATGCCATTAAAAATATTTGTGATTCATGAGAAGTCAAAATGGCACCATTAACAGGAGTTTGGAAGAAGTTGATTCTAATGCTCATGGATGACTTTGAGGGGTTCAGAACTTCAGTGGAGGAAGGGGCTGAATTGCTGTCAGACATAAAGGAAACTACAAGTGCTACTCCAGTGAATACACAAATGATAAGAAAGCAAAACAGGCCAATAGCAATGTCATGATAAAACTTGAACACATGAGAAGTTGCTTCTTACAGATGAGCGAAGAAAGTGGTTTTTTGAGATGGAGTCAACTCCTGCTGGAGATGCTATGAACACAGATAAAATGACAGCAAAAGATTTAGAATTTTATATACAATTAGTTGATGAAGCACTGACAGATTGCAGAGGACTGACTTCAGGTTTGAAAATAGTTCTACTGTGGTTCAAATGCTACTAGACCATACTGCCTGGTACAGAGAAATATTCTGTGAAAAGAAGTCAATCAGTGCAGCAAACTTCATGGTTGTCTTGTTTAAGAAATTGCTGGCCGGGCGCAGTAGCTCTCCCCTGTAATCCCAGCACTTTGGGTGGCCAAGGTGGGCGGATCACCTGAGGTTAGGAGATGGAGACCAGCCTGGCCAACATGGTGAAACCCCTGCTCTACTAAAAATACAAAAATTAGCCAGACGTGGTGGTAGTTGCCTGTAATCCCAGCTACTAGGGAGACTGAGGCAGGAGAGTTGCTTGAACCTGGGAGGCGGAGGCTGCATTGAGCCAAGATTGTGCCCCTGCACTCAAAGCCTGGGCAATAGAGTGAGACTCCATCTCAAAAAGAGAAATTGTGATAGCCACCCTAACTTTTAGCAAGTGCTGTCTTGATCAGGCAGCAGCCATCAACACTGAGACAAGACCCTCCACCAACACAAAGATGGTAACTCATTGAAGGCTCAGGTTAATTGTTAGTGGGTTTTGGCCAGGCCCAGTGGCTCATATCTGTAGTCCCAGCATTTTGGGAGGCTGAGGTTGGGTGGATCACCTGAGGTCAAGAGCTCGAGACCAGCCTGGCCAACATGGTGAAACCCCATCTCTACAAAAAATACAAAAATTAGCCAAGTGTGGTGGCACTTGCCCGTAATCACAGCTACTTGGGAGACTGAGGCAGGAGAATCACTTGAACTCAGGAGGCAGAGGCTGCAGTGAGCTGAGATCGTGCTATGACACTCCAGCCTGGGTGACAAAGTGAGACTCTGTCTCAAAAAGTAATTTTTAGTGGTTTTTAACAATATTTTAAAATTAAGATATGTATTTTTTAAAAGACATATACTATTGGACA